CATCACGTTTGGTGAAGAGAAAAGATCAAAGTTTTCCCAAACTCAAAAGAAACCAAGTTCCCTACAGATTAACCCTATTCATTTAGCTCCTCTTAAAGGAATGATGTTCTGAGCCACTGGGCAGACAGGTAAAAAGTTCAACAATTGCCAAAGCATTCTTCTGTTAATTCAACAGCCTTCTGCTCAAATAAATTAGCTTACCCCTGACAGAAGAACAATACCTTTTTCTCTTGAAAAAGGACCATATTTGATATACAAAAGTTAAGATGTTAGTTTAATCTGTTAAGAAGAGATTGATCTAACAAATCTCAACTCACTGTTCCACCATAGTACATGAGCTATGAATTTAAAACATTAACCTTTTACACTTCAGTATGCATCCCAGGAAAGGCAGGTGCTTACAGAAGTGCAGACAACAGATATGAGAGGCGGGTGTGCACATTCCTAAAATAACACCCGTTTTAAAAGGATACTTAACATGCCATGGGAGATGACTCTTTTGTAAAGGCTCAAAGACACCATCATCTTTCAAAAAAGGAAAGAAGCATGGTAATGCACCTCCCAGTTTTGGCAAACACTTTTTCAGAGCAACTTGTTGAGTGACTTGTTTTCTTGTGTCTACACAGGTAATGACTGGAGCATGAATGTTGCTCATAGTTTATGGAACTACCTAGAGATACAGCAGCTGGAATAACCAGGGCAGGAGGAGAGGAAAAGCTTGAAAAAGTCATTTATCAAAAGTCATTTTATTGACAAAATAGAATACTCATATTTGCTCTTACAGGGGTAGCCTCTAAATTTTTACAAAAAAATTTACAGACTGTATAGCTTTGGATATATACATATTTTACACATCTGTACAAGGTAACAAATAATTATATAAATACATCCTTTAATGTAGGAAACCCGTATTTAGCTGGGGTGTATAATTAAGACATTTTTTGATTCAGTCAATATTGTAAGGCATTTGCCTGGTCATCCACATCCCAAAAACCTGCAGTCCCCAGCAGACTCCCACCTCAGGATGGGGGGAGGAAGACCCTCTCTCCCACGAGTAAAGAGCTGCTGTTAGTCCAGAGTGATTCAGAAGCTGCTGTGCCTTGCCCTCTGCAAGACACGGGTGAGCCTCTACCCTCCTCTGCCAGCAAAATAATAAGCTGGCTCCTTGAAGTACATGCTCCCTGCATATGAATGGAGGGGAAGGAGGAGGGGGTTGGAGCCTGGGGCCTCTGCCAGCTGCATTGTTCTATACAAGCTGTGGCTAATAAGGACCATTAGGGGTTCATTAATGGCACCAAACAGTGAGGAGGCATTTTAGGCAGGCCAGTGTCCCTCATTCCCTAACCTTTGGCCTCTTTCCCCCTCCTCACACTTGAGACAGGGGCATCTGCTTGGGATAGGAGACAGAGCTGGCGGTGCCTGATCTCCACGTCAGGCCGGTGCTGACATCGCTGTAGAGTGAGCCACCACCTCCGGCCCCGAGTCCTCCTGCCGTGGTGATTACTGCCTGTCCACCTGCTCCTGCCCCCGCGCCCCCAGCCACGGCAGCGCCTTTGCTGGCCCAGCAGCAGCGGGTGCAGAGGGCCCTCCAGGATTCCAGGGTCTTGCCAGACCAGACCCAGACGCCAGAAGTGATGCCCACCACCAGGCACATGAAGTACTTGAGCATGAAGACGGCGTAGTCAGGGCGGCGGGCCTGGTCAGGCTGCTGGTCACGCAGGCAGGGGCAGTTGTGCGTGGCCTCCCAGCGGGGCCGGTTGTGCTGCTCGTAGAAGAGGCAGGCGACCACGCTGGCGGCTGGCACGGTGTAGAGCACCGTGAAGAGTCCCAGGCGTATCATCAGCTTCTCCAGCTTGTGGGTCTTGGTGGGGCCACCCTGCTGCTTGATGACGCTGCGGATACGGAAGAGCGAGACGAAGCCAGCGAGCAGGAACATGGAGCCGATGGCCAAGTAGATGAGCAGAGGTGCCAGCACGAAGCCCCGTAAGTTCTCCAGGCTCTGGTTGCCCACGTAGCAGATGCCAGCCACGGGGTCCCCGTCCACAGAGCTGAGCGCCAGCACAGCGATGGACTTGACGCTGGGGAGCAGCCAGGCGGCCAGGTGGAAATACTGCGCGTAGCCCGCGATGGCCTCGTTGCCCCACTTCATGCCCGCCGCCAGGAACCAGGTGAGGGAGAGGATGACCCACCAGATGGAGCTGGCCATGCTGAAGAAGTAGACGAGCAGGAAGACCACGGTGCACAGCGCCGGGCCGGTGCTCTCGTACCGCACGTGCTCGGCCACCGCCAGCTCCGGCTGCAGCTCGGCCGCGCCGCCCGCCGCCCCGGCCCCCGCGCCGCCCGCGCCCGCCCCGCCGCTGCACGCCACCTTCTCGTGGCCCGCCACCAGCCGCACCAGGTAGCCGAGGGACACGAAGAGGTAGCAGGCGGCCAGGAAGATGATGGGGCGCTCGGGGTACTTGAAGCGCTCCATGTCGATGAGGAAGGTGGAGACGGTGGCGAAGGTGGAGAGGAAGCAGAGCACGGACCAGAGTCCGATCCAGAAGGCGGTGAAGGCGCGCTCGTCGGGGCTGAAGTAGGGGTTGTGGCAGGGCAGGGCGCAGTTGGCGATCTGCCCCGTCTTGACGCGGTTGTAGAGCGGGTGCCGCTCGCTGGACACCGACACCATGGGCGCCCGGCACTGGCAGCCCGGTTCGCAGGGCGGCGGCGGCCGCGGCTTGCGCGGAGCCTCGGCCGGCGGGGCGGCGGCGGCGGGGGGCGCCTTGGCGGCGGTGCCGGGCTTGGAGCCGCGGAGCGGGGGCTTGGCGGGCGGTGGCGCGGCCGTGGTCAGGTCCGTGCGGTTGTAGTCCATGCAGAGCGTGTCTGGGCTGCCCTGCTCGGGGAGGCGGTCGCAGCGCATCCTGTCGGGCCAGGCGAAGCCGTACTGGCGCATGAGCGGGGCGCAGCCGGCCTTGGCCCGCTCGCAGACGCTGCGGCAGGGCGGCAGCGGCTTCTTGTAGTCCTCCAGGCAGATGGGGGTGTACATGCTGCAGAGGAAGAAGCGCAGGTCGCTGGAGCACTGGATCTCCACCAGCGGCCAGAACTGGTGCACCTCCAGCCCGGCCTCGTCCTGCGTGTCGTGGTTGAACTGGTTGGGCATGTAGGTGTAGTTGTAGCCGATGCCTTTGCAGAGGGGCACGGTGATCTCCTGGCACGACAGCTCCTTTGCCGAGGAGGAGGACGAGGAGGACGCGGCGGCTGCGGCCGAGGCGGCGGCGCAGCCGGCGCGCTGCAGCAGGGACAGGGCGGCGAGCAGCGAGGTGATTTCCAACAGGTAACTCCACTCCATGCTCGGCGGCGCGGGGGCGGCGGCCCCGGCTCCTCTCCCGTCCCGCTCAGCAGCCGCGGGGAGCGCGGCGCCACAGCACCGCCCCGGCCCCGCTACCCCGGGGGGCGGAGGGCGGCCCCCTCCGTGCCGGTCGCAGGTGAGAGCTCTCGCAGCCCCCGCCGGACTCCGTCGTCCGCGGGCACCCGGTGAGGGGGAGCCCCCACTCGGCTCCGGAGGATGGGGGTCGCTCACGGGAGGCCCCTCAGCCGCCGCCGCATCGCTCCCCGCGGGGTCGGTTTCGCAGGGGGAAGCGCAGCTCCAGCGCCGGCCGGGCACGGGGCGGCGGCGGCAGAGAAGTTTGGCCGTCAGCCCCCGGGCGGCGCGGTGAAGAAGGCTGAGGCGTCCCGGGAACCAGGCGGTGCCGGGCTCCCACCGCCCCGAGCGGGCAGGCAGCGGCGGGGCCGGAGCTGGGGCGGCCGGAGCGGCTCCTTCTGCCGCCCTCCCGAGCGCACGGCTCCGCGGGTGACGGCCGGGCGGTGCTCGCCCTGCGCTGGGTCCCCGTCCGGCTGCCAGGCACCCCGGCCGCGGTCGCGCCACCTGAGCCGCGGGTCGAGCGCGGCAGCGCCTCCGCCAACTTCTCGCTCTCCGGCCCCGGCAGCGGCGCTCCGGCCGCCGCGCTCTCATGAATATTTATAGCGAGCGCCGGCGGGCCCCGCCCCCGCCGCCTCGTCCGCCTATCAGCCGCGCTCGGGCGGGACGCGGGGGGCGGGACGCGGAGCTCCTTAAGGTGGAGCCGGTGCCGGACTGTGGTGGTGCTGCTGGGACGTGGCGGTGTTTGTTCGGACCCTGCCCGTGCGGGGACGCGCGGCTCCGCACCGCGGTGCGCGGGCTGCGGCAGCCACGCACGGCCCGGGCTGCGCAGGGGACCTCCGTCCCCTGCAGGGCCGAGTCACAGCCACTGCAGCAGCAGTTTAAGTAGCGCTCGGGGCTGTCTCGGAAGGGGTTTCCTATCACTTCCTTGCTGCCCGCGGGATTCGCCGCCCGTGCCGGTGCGCGCTGCCCCATGCCCTGCACGTGTTGGTGACGGGGGTGGGAGCGCGGCGAAGCCGGGGGTCCCGGCAGTACCGCAGCCCACACCCGGCCCCGCTGCCCCGGCCCCAGCGCGGAGCTCCGAACACCGCGCGGTGCGAGCGCGGCGCTGCAGGCTCTGCCCGGGGCCGCGGCGTGTGAGGGGCGACACGGGGACCCCCGAGGCGCGGGCACCCGCGGGGCACGGCGCTCGCCGGGGCGTGCTGAGGCGGTGCCGTGTGTGCGCCCGGCCGGGAGCTCCCGGCGGGAGCAGCCCCGCGCCCCGGCAGGTGGACACGGCTCCCAGCCGGGCGGGTACCCGCGGTAGCCCCGCGGCCGGCCCCGGGTGCACTCTACCCGCGGGACAGGGGCCCGCACCGCGGCCCAGGGGCAGCGCCGGGAGGCCGGTCCTGGCACGGCCGCGGCTCCCGAGCGCCAACCCGGCGCCGCGGCGGGGACCGGACCGACAGAGGAGCCATCTGCGGCTGGATGGCCGCTCGGCCGCCGCCGCCCCGCGCCCGGGAACCCCCCCGCCCTCCGCTCCTGGGGGCCGTCGTGAGAGGAGCCGCTGCCTTCTCCGCTCGCGGCGGGGAGGGGGCGGGCGGGAATTCCGGCGGCCCCGCCGCAGCCAGACCACCTTAAGGGGAGCGGCGGCGGGCGCGGGCTGCGAGCGCGGCGGGGCCGTCCCGGGGGGTTGTCGCGCTCCCGGGACGGGGCGTTTGTTTGTTAATTGCGGCGCTGCTGCGCCTGGCGCTCGCGCGGCGCTCCCGCTGCGGCCCTAATGACTGGAACCGCGGGAGCGCGGCGGGGCCCGTCTGCCGGCGGCGGGAATCGTGTGATTCGCGGGGAGTCACACGGAGAGAAGCGGGGCCGGGGGGGCAGCCAGCCCGCCCCGGGGGGCGGTGCGGGGCGCTGGAGGAGGAAATGGAACGCGTGAGGCCAAACAAGGAACAATCCCCGGGTTGTTGGCTGAGCCAACAGGCTGCTGTCGCCGGCTCTGTCGCCGTGTGAGCGCACGCGGGGATTACCCCGTTCGGAGGAAATGGGCGATGATGGGGCGATAAACGCGCCCGCTGTGTGACCACAATGGGTTTGCAATTGGCCGAGCGCCGCTCCCGCCCCGGCCCGCAGGGGGCTGGGAAGCTCCCGGAGGCCGTGGCCGCGCTCCGCCGGGGCTCGGGCTGTGCAGCCGGTGCCGCCGTTACACGTGGTGCTGTTTGTGAGCACGGTCAGAACTTTTCCAAAAGTAGCAGGTGGTTATTTCAGCGCTAATTTAGTGAACAGCATTGTGAAAAGTGTTTCGAGATCGAACAATGCCCGGTGAAGAAAACGTCTGGCACAGGACTCAGTGACGGATAGAAGTGTAAAAAGTCTCCAGTCCTGGATGCGATGCTCCATTTTAAAAAATGGCTTTTTTTTTTTTTTTTTTTTTTGCTGGTGGCTACTTGAAGCTCACCTTATTTAAAAATCTCTACAGAATGTAGAACTGAGCGAGTCTAGTCGGGGGAGCCGGGCGAGTCTGTAAATTACCGCTCTGTCAGGATTCCTCTTGCCTCTTACAAAGTACCTTTTTATGCTGAACTTAAACTTTACACTACAGAGACAGCAGATGTGAGGTGATGGCTTCCAAAAGCAACACAGATGCTGTAAAATTTCCATTGCTATATTTCAGCGAGGAAGCTCAGGAGACATGCTGAATGCTGCAGTTTAGAATTACACTCTAACTCTCCTAGAAATAAGAGAATACCGAGTTTCTCAACAGTACATTTGGCTTCATTTTTGCTGTCATTCATATGCTCTTGTTTTCTTGCAGCGAGAAGAAGAGATGCAGCACAAAGATACTGTGTGTCTTGAAGCTGTTCAGTAATGACAGAATTGGTAATATGGAACTTTATGGCAATTTAGTAATGACTGCATATCCAAATTCCCCAGTAAGACCATGATAATTTTTTAAATTGTCTTTCAGGTATATAAAACAGCACAGCTGTGGGGAGGCTGCTTTGCTTTATGTGACTGAAAAGCAGCCTGGTTAGCTCAACACTGTGGAATCAGGGCCCATTGTGTGTTCCTCATACTTGGGAGACTTCCCTGAAGTCCCTAGAAGTCCTGTGATGAAGGAATCAAGGGTCAAGTCTTTAAAATGGTTTGTGTGTTTATTCCAGAAAATTCAGCAGCTGCTTTTTCTGAAAAGCTGAACTTTGCTATAGCAATGCAGAATACTTTAGAGCACATTTTTCCCCTGAGATTTCAAAACAGATGTCCAGTCATCAAATCCTGCAGAAATATAAAGCTGGCAAGAATGTTACAGATATTATAACTTTTTACAAAGTTACAGATTTGACTTGTTGTCAAATCTAGTCACTTTCTGACTGGTCTTTGTCACTACATATCTTTGTTGCCACAGATACTCACGCCTCTTTTAGTCAAACAATTAGGTTTGGCACTGGCCCCTCTGACACAAGCTTGATTTTTCTGTGCATCTGAGGCTTTGCATTTGGGATTATATGGGTCCCACCAAACCAGGTAATGGTAACTACAGGACATTTTAGTTCAAAAGAATTAAATTTGTCTTTTTTAAGTGGAAGTAAAAATTGCACATGAAATCTTGGATTCAACATGCTATTTTGTTTATGTAAAAATAAAGATGTTTCATTTATAAGATTCAAAAAAATTGCTTTTTAATTTGCCACTGAATGTTCTCCAGTAAATTTTAGTGTGGCATTGTCTGCATTGGATAGGTCACTGAATGGTGCTTTTATAAAAGTGTTTGAAAAGAAGAACTTGGTCCATGGAAATTGTTCAAATAATCTTGTTAGAATGAAGCCTTGACTGAAGGCAGTAATTTCATGGATTAAACCCAGAAGGGCTGGCTGGGCTGATCTCCTTCCTATCACAGGCCACAGAGCTTTGTGCAGAGACTGTCTAAGCAAATGCTGGTTAGCTGCAAGACATAGGGGATTTTGCATGGACAAAACATTGAACAACACCATGAAACTGGAAAATGTGGAACTTTTTGAGGACAGGATAAATAGGAGTTGGAAGAAAGAGTATTTTTACAGGCCATTTAGTAAACACGGTGAGGTAGAGTTGCATCTAACTATGTTCAGCTTTCCCCTAAAAAGTTCCAATTAAAAGTAAGGGAAACTGTTTTTTTCCCCAGTCTGTCCTTTTCTCTCACATGCCACATGTGGTCCAGAACTGAGCAACATGATGGCACATCCAAGTATGGGAAGGAATTGCCTGGTTTGTACTTCTGGAATTCCAAAAAGTGCAAATTATGAACAAAACTCCAGTGCTGTGAAACCTGAAGAGAAATAGGGGTAGGAGAATACAGTATGCATCTCTGTCTTACAGTTTGATATTTTTCCTTTTACGAAAATAAATAAATAAATGGCATTCAATACATCTTCTGAGTCAGCCTGTACTTTATTGTGATTCATGAGAACGTTTTGTAGGCAAGAACAATGTTCTGCTTACATTTTTTCAGGCATGTCAGATCTGATTGGGGATGGGCACAGTACCATGGTGGTGCTACTGTTATTCAGTGAGACACGAGAGAGACCTCAGGAAAGAAGAAAATAGGCTGAATACAATGTGCTGCAATAGCTACTCCTGGAGTGCAGTGAGCAGGTGACAGAGCAGGAGGAGAAACTTCTGGAAGAGTACTTTGGTGTCACTTTGTCATAAAGGATGATCACAAAGGGATTGGTCAGTGCTGTGGTCTGAGTATTGCTCTGACAGTGAAAGTGCAAACTGTGGCCCTGAATGGCTGGAGGATTTTCTGCTGAGTATGGGAGTAGACCATGTTTAGGTTTCCTCCTGAGGCTGCTTGGTGCAAGCTGTGGCCCGGAATGTGGCTGGAGGATTTTCTGCTGAGTATGGGAGTAGACCATGTTTAGGTTTCCTCCTGAGGCTGCTTTGAGAGCATGGGCTCCACCAGAGAAGGAGTATGAGCTGCAGAATGAGTGGGAACAACAGTTTAGCATGAGGGCAGTATGAGTTCCTATTGAAGTGCTTTAGCCCTGTTCTCTCACACTGTGCAGTTGGTGATTGTGCTGCAAAGTATTGGCTCTCTCAGTGTAATTGTACATTGCTTCAATTCTCATTAGTGAAGCAATGCAGGAGGAATGAATGCAAGAAAATACAGATTATAAGGATGATGAAGGAAAATAAGTGTTCTTGAGGGCTTTTTCCATAACATTATTTTTTTTATTTTCCTGCCACTAGTTAGCAAGCTGTATTTATAATCCACCTGTGCTACAGACTGTAGTACCTCATGGTGTGGTGTTTCACACATGATAAATTGTGTGACTTTTGAAGACAGATTGCACTGAATTAAACTGTTGATCCACTGTCACTGTATTTGGAGAACAACACAAACTCCATGCAGTCTAATTGCTAACCATAATGTATGTGAGGTTATACAGACAGAGTGAGGAGTGTTGTTTTCCTCTGATTACCCGGGTAACCATGAATTTACTTTTAGGCTACTGCTAGGATATTAGTATGTAAATGCACTCCTGAATCTCAGGAAGGTTATGTGGATTCAGGTTTCTGGGGGTTGATATGAGAGTATAACCATGCACCACTCTGAGTATAAACATGCACCACTCTTCCCAAAGTGAAAGCATGGCCAGGCCTCTGGCACACCAGTGACTCCTGCAGTCATGTTTGTGGTTCTGTCTCCATGCTTCACCAAATGTAATTAGTGCTCATATATGCTGGAATTACACATTCACCATCATTACTCCCAGCATGGGCTGGGAAGTCCATTTGGGCAGTTTTCAGTTTTGGAGACCTCCGTTTTAACAACTTGGGTATAAAGCCCTGCAAAGCTTGTGGTAAATATCCGCTGTTGTATTGCCCCCTGCCTTACCTGTCTGGGATGTGGCCATCTGGGATGGGCAGTCTCCAAATTACAGCTCCCACCTGGCCTTAAGGTGATGTGACCTGCAGGTGTCTGGACTTTGATGTCACAGCTTTGGGGGAATTAAGGGAGACTCTGTCATTAACTTGACCTTGTTACTTAGTCCATGTTTGGGTGATAGCAGATGGGTGAACAGCACATTTAACTCTTACCAACTCTGGGTATTGGTACTCACCGGGTGGAAGGAAGAGCCACAGCGCAGGGTGGGGGAGTGCAGGGTTGTCTCTCGGGTAGGGTAAGTCAGAGCTGGGATGGCTCAGTTGCCACACTCACACAGCTGTGGTGGCACTCCTGGCAAGAAATCCAGCCCAGCCTGTGTGCAGCTCTGTGCCAGCTCATCCAGCCTGCTGGAAGAAGGTTGGTGTAGAGACAAGATTAAGCAGTGTAGTCCACTTTGAGCTAGGAACTTCTGCATAAGCTACATGGAGACATTACCCATGGGAAACATACCCTCTCACATGCTGCAAATTAAATGAGAAACTAAAGAGGTGATGTGCTTATGAGTAAGAAATGAACTGATGAAAAAATGACACTTTATTTTGATAAGACTAAAACCCAGATATAAGAAAGCAAAACTTTGTATAACTGATTTGAAAAGAAAGGTCATTAAATCCTTGACAATAAGAAGTTGGTCATCAATTCTGATGCTACTTTTTGCATCTTGGAGGTCAGTGAAACTATAAGTTAAGGGAATAATGTTTTGCATATGTTTGAGGTAGACATTTTTTAAGTTTCACTCTTTCCAATTCCAATTTTGAATGGATGCCCAGTAGTAATTTTTAAAATGCTGAATGATAAAATCACACTGAAAATTCTTACTGAAATTATTGTCCAGGAGATAAAATTGAAATAACAGATGTATCTTTTATCAGTGATTTTGAATATTTATTCTTTGTATTTCATTTATTCAAAACATTTTTTTTATTTCTATGGTTATACCCTGACTAATTCTTCACTGTACTAATTTTGCTGGGACAACAGTGCTTGGTTATTCCAAATATGAGTAAGGACAGCAAGCTTGGGCTTGTACTAATTTTGATGAATAAATTTGCCTTGAGAATGACAAATTGTGTTAGCACTTTTCACTTGATAACATTAGACAGTCAAAAATGTTAACACTTTGTAGGCAATCAGCATTAGGCAGTGTTTGGAGCTGCTTATAGGGAGCTCTCAGGTGCCTGGTCTCAGCAGAAACTGCTAAAAACCTTTCTCTATTTTTATTTTAGTGAAAGAATGGTGTGATTGAAAAGCAAGGTGTTCAAAGGAAATTCACTGTAATAGCCAAATGTCCTTTTCATTTTACTCACTGAGTTCTAAAATAAAGATATTTCTTTGCCAGTTCCTTTGAATTTTCTTGATTCTTAGTTGGCATAATGATGGCAGGAATAGTTCTCTCTGTGTATGGTGAGGGAAAAGGAAGAAGTACCCCACTGGCATGAGATTTTCTGCAGTCTGCTGTAGGTTCACCACAGTGTTACAAAAGGTGCAGTCTTGATTGTTTTCTTGTCTTTTATTTATTTTTTATACATTTATTTTGCAGTTGGGGATGGAATTGTATGTCAGAAAACAGCCACAAGGGGAGAGAAATACTAGAAATTTGGTTGTAACATTTTTCCTGGTAGTATTAGTTGAGTGTTTCTGTCTTGGTCTGGTCAGGGTCTGGTTTTGGATGAAAAGCTTTCAGCTCTTCCAGGGGATTGTGGGCTTCCAAGAAAAGGGATGATAATAATCATGTTGGGATAGCTGATACTTTTTATTGTATTAGTCTTATTGGATTTATTCCTTCTGGTTTACTTTACTAAAAAGAGAACCCTGAAAGGAAATAAGAACTGGAGTATCTTATTTTCTTGCCACTTTGCTAATTTTGCTATACATATTTTTGTATTATAGATTCCTTACTTAGTAAGTGTAGCCATTGTATGAATCTTATCTTCATCCTTTGCTTTTGTAAGGTAGGCTGGTTGGTCTTTTATAAGTTAGGGCTCACATAAATTTATCACATCCATTCAACCCTGTTTGTTTTTGTTTGGGTTTAGCTCCTTGGCTTTTGAATAGTTCTTCTAGCAGAACTGTGATGGAAAACTTGAAACATTTTTACTGCTGTTTAATTTTTTTTTCTGATTTGTGAGTGGATGGGTCCAGGTGATATGTTTGAATCTGCAGGTCAGTGAGAAAGAAAGACCTTTCTTGACCCATGAAATTTCCTGCATGCATTTTTGATAAAAAAATAAAAAGCTTTTTCTGTTTCTTTTTTGTCTTAATTTTCCAGGAAACACAACATGCTTTGACAGAATTCAGAGGACTTTGGAAGACTTTGTCTGAAAACTAAATCTTCTGGATTTGAAATATGTTACTGGAGTCCTCCTCTGACATTACAACCTGGATTCCTTCTGGCCCTGCTCTGCGAGGCTGAGGCTGCCTTCCACCTTTGACATTTTGCCATGATCTTTCCTCCTTGAAGGGAGTGCTGTAAGTGGGGAATCCCTCAAAGTGGTCAGTCCTCAGAATTCTCATTTAAATGGTAAGACTGGTTGATAGAGTTCTGCCACATAAAGCAGGTAAGCTAGAGATACAATGAAATGCTACACTGGCATTTCTTAATAACATACTATGTTTTCAATCAAAATATTTTTGTTGATAAGTTTGGCTTTTTGGTAAGAAAAGTATACTTGCAGAAGCACATATTTAGACATGCCAAAAACCCCCAAACAATCCAACCAGAAAGTGTTTAGCTGAAAGCCTCATTTCCCATCAAAAATAGATGCAGTGGAAAATTTTCAAGCAGCCCTATATTTAACCTCCTTGGATCAGAATTTGGTTCTTGGACTGAGGGAGGCTTACAGAGTTTTTTGGCTGCTTTTGTTAGGGTGTCTGTTTTTTCACTCATGACATCTGCCTGCTTTTCAAGCTATATTCAACCTTGTTATAACTCTTGCTATTGCAGCACTTTACTGTGTTCAGAATGCTGATTCCCACTGGACTCAACTCACTGAGTATGTGCAAACTCAGTTTCTTCCACAGGGTGCATCAATCTTGCTGCTTTTTTTTAAATTTTGGCTGTGTTTTACTAAGAAAATATGTGTGCTGTGTACTGACTGTGCAGAAAACAGTATCAATACAATGCAGTTCCTAGTTCTTTGCCCGAGGTAGCCTTGCTTTGGCATGTTGTGGATATAAAAGTTTATCTGAGTTCAAGGGCTAATTGGATATTTGAAAGAGAAGGTCCATTGGGCAAGATAAATAGATAAATCACATCAATCTCAGGAATTCTTGAGTGGAATATAGTTGAAGTGCTAGAGAGTTATTCTGGGAAACAAGCATTTGATTTCTTTGCTCATGCTCTCTTCTCTTCACTCTGACTTATGTCTGCTTTTGGAAGAGGATACTGACCTAAATGGACCTTTGATCTGAATTGTCATAGCCATCCTTGGATGAG